GACACCACCTGCTGGAAACCGCCCGGAAGGCCCGCGAGTGACACTCCGGAAGCCGCCCCCTCTCCGCGGCTGGAAGAGGCGGGGTCAGACCGGTCCCGCTCGCGCCCAGGCGAGGAGGGGCGCCGCGCCCTGTCCTCTGCTCCCCGCAGCCCTCTGTCAGGCGCTTCTCCCTTTTGGGGCCGGGGCCAGCGGGCGGGCGGCGGTGACACCTGCAACATGAGCGAGGCGGCCGGGCTCCGGCAGCGCCGGCCCCTGCGGCCGCAGGTCGTCGCCGAGGACAGGCAGACCCCGGAGGCCAAGGACGGCAGGTAGGCCCGGCCCCCAGATTGGGTCCTGGAGCAGGGCGCTCGCCCCCCACGCACCACGAGGGCAACAGCAGCAGCAGCAGCAGGGTACATGCGGTGCCAACGCGCGGCCTGAGCCTTTGTCATTGGGTCCCCCGCAAAACTCTTTGTACCGGGGGTGGGGGGCTCGGACCAAGCGGATGCCCCTGCCGGGCCTGGAGGCGTGGGGCCCGTCCGCGCCCCGTGGCGGCGTTATCCCGGGTCTGGGCCCGAGGCCCCTCGCACCGCACCTGCCGCTCCTGCCCAGCTTCCAGAGCGGCGGTTTCTTTGCCTGTCCTTCCTCCCCGGTCCTCTGCTCGCCGCTCCCCCGCTGCTCCCCTGCCCCGGGAGAGCCACCAGCCGCCGCCCTGCGCCCTCCCGGTGCCGCGCTCGCGCCGTCCCGCAGGGATTCGGGGAGGAGCTCAGGTGGCGCCTGCAGAGCCGGCTCTGGAAGCGCCGGCCTCTGCCCTTGGCCCCTTCTCTCGCTGCGCGGGACCAGCCCTCACCTCGGTTTTCCGGAAAGAGCAGGGAACAGCAGTCGTGTTTGCGAGAATTCAGCTTTGCAGCTCTGATAGGGACAGAGAAGCCTAGGAAACTGTAGTTGTTGATGCCTGATGAAAGAAATCTCCGATTTTTCGCCTTTGCTTCTTCTCCCAACCTTCCAGAATTTAAGTATGCTGGGTTTTAGCTAAAAACTGAAGCGTGATCCTTAAACATGTATTTTAATATAAAATAAACTTCTCTTTTAAATTTTGTGTCCTGAGTCTGATAACTTGGAGTATTTTGGTATTAAAAATACCAAATATAGATCATGTAGGCCCTGTATAGATGAAGTTTGAAGTTGTGGAACTGATTGATTTATAAGTTGATAGTAATAATGGAAATATTTATTGGTGTGCCAACTGGTGTGGTACATACTGAATGAGGGACAGTTTTTGCCAGGACAAACTGAATTTATTCATTGATAATAAGATGAACACCTCTGAATGAGAGCTGTAGCAGAGAGGGGTGTTTTGGCTCTAGAAAGGCGATTCAGTGAGGAGACTTTCTGGTAATATCTGACTTCTGGGCTCAGTGGAAAGGGGGAATAGGAAGAGTCTTGACTGTAGGGTGACCAGCCATCCTGGTTTCCCTGGACTCAGACTTGGAAGGATGCAGGACTTTCAGTGCTAATCTTGGCAGACCAGGGCGAGTGGGTCACGCTATTGACTGTGGACAGCCTGAAGCCATCCTCTGCTGCTGATCTAGGAGCCTTTGAGAATGGTCCTGCAAGGACTGGCAGTACTTTACCATAGAAACGTATATATCTGTGATGGTCTCTTAATAGTGAGTTTTTGTCAGCCATCTTCCTTTCTACATTTATTATCATAATACTGTAGTTTTTTAAAAGTTATTTTTCTTATGTGATTCTCCTCTATTTTTCATTTTTTTTGTGGTCATGTTTAATAGTTCATCTAATTGTCTTCTTGGTTACCTTAAAAGCTGAGCACTCATCACAAGACAGAAAAGCATTGTGTATAGTGGGGAAAGTAAAGGAATCTGAAGGAAGTAGAAATGTGACAACTGTAGAATAAGCCTCTTATGTGCTAAACAGAATAGAGAAAGCCTTGGAAGATACATTATTCAATTAACAGGAGGAGGACAGTAGAGTATGTGGAAGGGCACCTGACAATACCGTGGCTAACTCCTGACTCTTGGCATGAAAGGTGACGTTAGCTCTCTTTCACTGAGGAGGTCATTGAAGTCCGTGTGAGCAAAGTGCTTTGTGTAAAGGTACAGATACTGGAGTCAAAAGAGAAATGAAAATGAATGAAGAAGGGTAGAATTGGCAACTGGGCAGTGACTGGGAGCATATTCTGTTCTTGAACTACAATGAGGAAGGCAGGCATTGAGTCCTTTTACTCAGTGGGGAGCCCAGATGAACTAAGCACTTTAACGTACTGTTGCAAGCTAATAATTAGTATTATTCAGCATCAGTTTCCCCAGGTGTTTTAGAAACTATTGTTAGAATGATTGTAACACTGAAAATATTCCTTCTCTTTTGAAACATAGCTCTGTCTGGGAAGAGAGAATATCTGTTTAATGTCCACGAATAACTAACTGTTCAGGACTGAAGAGTGACCACACTGAAAATTTAAGAGCTACTTTCTCAGTAGCTTTTTCTAAAGGATTTTAGGCTAATTAAACATCTCTACTTGGTCAGTTTTCCTTTTTAAGACTGAAGAGTAAGGGGGAGGCAGTGTGGAGGAACAGACGGGGCTGTCATAAATTCATGAAGTCATGAGGATTTAGGAATCTGGAGTTTTCTTCTCAGCCCCTTTCCCTTCCCCAGTGCGTGTTTTCAAGTCGCTCTTTTATTTTTTATTTTTTGTTTTTCATATTTATTACACACATAAGACATGATGCTAACATAAAGCCCTACATTCATCAGCCACCAGCGGGTGTTGTGTTTATGTTTTTGTTTTGTTTTTAATTTATTTTTAAATTTAAAAAAAATTTATTTTTATTTAAAATATTACAAATGTCCCTTTTTCTCCCCAATGACCCACTCCACCCCATCACACCCCCCTTTCAAGTCCCTCTCCCCACCATTGTCCGTGTCCTTGGGTTGTGCATATATGCATATAAATTCTTTGGTTACTCTCTCCCCCTCCACCCACCCGCCCTCCTCCAACCCTCTGACATTCGTCAGTCTGATCTATGCTTCCATGTCATTGAATCTATTCTTTTCATCAGTTTATTAAGTTCTTTAGATTCCATGTATAAGNAAGAAGGGGGATCTCCAACCCTCTGACATTCGTCAGTCTGATCTATGCTTCCATGTCATTGAATCTATTCTTTTCATCAGTTTATTAAGTTCTTTAGATTCCATGTATAAGCGAGATCATGTGATGTTTGTGTTTCTCTGCCTGGCTTATTTCACTTAGCATAATTTTCTCCAGGTCCATCCATACTGTCCCAAAGGGTACGAGATCCCCCTTCTTTGTAGCTGCATAGTGATCCATGGTGCGAATGTCCCACAGCTTTTTTATCCACACCTACTGCTGGGCACTTGGGCTGTTTCCAGATCTTAGCTATTGTCAACTATGCTGCTGTGATCATAGGGTGCATATATTCTTTCTGATTAGTGTTTCAGGATTCTTCGGATATATTCCTAGAAGTGGAATCACTGGGTCAAAAGGCAGCTCCATTTTTAATTTTTTGAGGAACCTGCATACTGTGTTCCATAGTGGCTGCCCCAGTCTGCATTCCCACCAGCAGTGTACTAGGGCACCCCTGTCTCAACATCATCCCAGCAGGAGTCATTTGTTGATTTGTTGATGGAGCCATTCTGACAGGTGTGAAGTGATACCTCATTGTGGTTTTAATTTGCATCTCTGATGATTAGCAACACTGAGCATTTTCTCATGTGTCTCTTGACCATCTGTGTGTCCTCTTTGGAGAAGTGTCTATTCAGGTCCTTTGCCTATTTCTTAATTGGGTTGTTTGTCTTCCTCTTGCTGAGCAGTATGAGTTCTTTGTACACTTTGGAAATTAGCCTCTTATCAGATACATCCTTGGGAAATATGTTTTTCCAGACTGTGGGGTTCCTTTGTATTTTGAGGCTGTTTTCGTTTGCTGTGCAGAAGCTTTTTAGTTTGATGTAGTCCCATATGTTTATTTTTTCTTTTGTTTCTCTTGCCCTAGGAGATGTACCAGTGAAAATTCCACTAAGTGGGATGTCTGTGACTTTACTGCCTATGTTTTCTTCCAGGATTTTTATGGTTTCAAGTGGCTCTTTTAACTTCTTAGTTGTTTTCAGTGCTAAAATGAAGACATCTACAGTCTAGCAGCCCCAGTATCAAGGAATGTGAAAAACGAACAGATTTAAGGTGCAGTCACTTAAAAAGACAGACTTTGTTGCTGTTTGACTTTCTCAGTTTCCAGAGATCACTTTGACACCTGGGGTTCTGGTCGCCTGTGGATTTGGGGTTCACAGGTTTCCCACAAAAGTCACAGGTCGTTTTAATCTCAGTGTGTCAGGACTTCAGTCCACGATTTGAAGCTCTGATGTCCCGTATACAGAAGGGGTTAGAGAGCGCCTTTCATATTTGGCTGGCGGAAGTACAGGATTTTGTAAATTGTGGTCGAGCCAACAGTTATTGCATTACCGGAATTATTCTCTTGCCCTTAGAGACTGTAGGAAATTTCAGGGTCAAGAGGTTGGGACAAACAAGTTGGTTTCCCAGACTGTACCTGGGAAGGAAGTTGTCAGCTTTCCTGAACGTGTCAGCACAGACTGGGAAGGGGATATGACAGGTTTTGTCGTTGAAGTGGATAGGGGTAAATGGAGTGTCCTTTATTTAAGTCCCCGTCATGCAGGTGTGCATAGGCAAGGGGCACACGTGGAGGAAAGGCGGAATTGTAGTTGACTCTGAGTTTGCAGGAACCAGCAGTGGAGATGAGCCTGCCAAAAAGCTAATGAACCTGGGGATAAAATAAGTGTGCCTAGAGCATGGGTACAGAAACCGCTGCAAGGAACTCTGCACCAGAGTCAGGGACTCCGATGCCTGCAGGGAGCTGCGGTCCTGGTATTTACTGAAAGCTTTTTGTGTTCCAGGCCCTGGTCTTAGCATCAGTCACATTGGTTCTTGTACCAGCCTGATGTGGTCCTGTCTGCAGCAACCGTGAGGCTGGGCAGAGCAGAGTGTGTGCATGTCTGAAGATTGGAAACCCTTGTGCGGCCACCATGCAACTTTGGATTTCATAGGGCCAGCTGTGCTTTTTCAAGAGAAGCTGGAAACCAGATTTTTTTCTGTGAAATCCTTTACTTTTCAGTTTTGGCAGCTAAAGGCATTTTGTGAAGTGACAGTTTATGGTTTAGATTAGAGCTTTGCCTTGAGTTGTGGGCACCACATTTTATGGGAGACTTTGACAAACTCGAAAACAACCAGAAAAGAGACTGTTCTGCAAGCCCCACCATGTGAGGAGCTCCAGTAGGACTGGAGATGCTTTGCTTGGAGAAGAGAGAACCGAGGGCGGTGTGACTTCAAACGTGAGTTCTAGGGAGGGCTGTCTTGGAGGTCAAGGGCTTGTTGCTCCCGAGGGCAGAACTGCAACCAGTTAGTGTGAGCAACGGGTAGGTGTGTTTCTCAGAACATGTTGCATGAGATGACCTGAACAGCTAAGGTCCCTGTGCCAAAGACTTAGGGAATGCTCTCTGTTCTGGCCTTCTTGGATCTCAACCATGCATGCTGACAGGCACTTCCCTGACCTTCAGGGCTCTGTAGGATCTGCCCCTGGCAGTGGGCCTGACCTGTTCTAGCAGTTTCCCCTCACTCACTCTACCTCAATTTCCCCGTTTTGGTTATTATGCCTCTGTGGTCAAGGCTTGGGAATGGAGTCTTTAAGTTAACGCCTTAAGGCATGCATGCTTCACTCATATGCCAAGTGTTTGTTGAGTCCTCCTGCGTTTCCTCTGCTTGCAATGCTTTGTCCCAGATACAGTGGAAACTCAGTCTTCAAACTTAATTCCTTCTGGAAGGTCTGGGGCAACAGTTTTCGGGTGAGGTTTCATAGACTATGCAAAGCAGGCAGGCTCTACATGGCTGAAAATTTGCTTTTTGGGGCTTTATTTAAAAATGATTGGATATGTAAAAATTGGAGTTTGGCACTGGAGGGCCTTTGAGCTAATGGGTCTCATAGCCTGCAGTGAAGAAATAAACAACCCAGGGGCTGATGCACAGAGATGGTCTGGATCATTTATAAAACGCTCTAGCCCTGTTTCAGGTGCTCAGTAGCCACACATGGCTAGTGGTTGCTGTATTTCTATCATTGCAGAAAGTTATATTGGACAGCACTGCTCAAGGTGTTTAAGTTTAAGGTGCTATTTCTAAAATGTGACCACAGAACTTTTCTTTCTTTTTTAATTGTTGACAGTATTTCAGATGTTCCTCATTTTCTACCTCTATGCTACTCTTTACCCAGGCCCTGCCCCACCTCAGGCCTTCACCACATAATTGTCTGTGTCCATGGGCTATGCACATCTGTATATAAGTTCTCTGGTTAATCTCTTCCAGTCTCCTCCACCCTCCTCCCCTCGGAGATCTGTCAGTTCCAAGCATCCATGCCTCTGGTCCTTTTTTTTTTTCAATCCTTACCTGAGTGTATTTTTTCCATTGTTTTCAGAGAGAGTAGAAGGGAGGGCGAGAGGGAGGGAGAGAGAGAGAGAGAAACATCGATGTGAGAGAGATACCTCGATTGGTTGCTTCCCCCATGCACCCCCAACCGCGGCTGAGCCTGCTACTGAGGTACATGCCCTTGGCTGGAATCGAACCCAGGACCCTTCATTCCAAGGGCCATTGCTCTAACCACTGAACCAAACTGGCTAGGGCACTGGTCCTATTTTATTCATAAGTTTATTTTGTTCATTAGATTACACATGTACGTGAGATCATGTGATATTTGTCTTTCTCTGACTGGTTTATTTTGCTTAGCATAATAATCCCCAGGTCCATCCTTGCTGTTGGAAAGGGTAAGAGAGAGAGATTCTTCTTTTTTATAGCTGCATGGTATTCCATTGTGTAGATGTATCACAGCTTTTTTATCTACTCATCTACTGACAGGCACTTAGACTGTTTCCAGATCTTGGATATTGTAAACAATGCTGCTATGTACATAGGGGTGCATATATTTTTTCTGATTGGTGTTTCGAGATTCTTAGTATATATTCCCAAAAGTGGAATTGCAGGGTCAGAAGTCAGTCCTATTTTTAAATTCTGTAGGAAATTCCATATTGTCTCCCACAGAGGCTGTAGTAGTCTGCATTCCCACCAACAGTGCACTACGATTCCCTTTTTTCCACATCTTTACCAACACTTGTTGTTTGTTGATTTCTTGATGATTGCCCTAGGAGATGTATCAGTGAAAACACTGCTGTGTGAGATGTCTCAGATTTTACTGCCTATGTTTTCTTCTAGGATTTTTTTTTTTATGGTTTTACCAATAATACATCTGATAAAGGGTTAATTTCCAAAATTATATAAAGACCTTATACAACTCAACTCCAGGAAGGCAAGCAGTCCCATTAAAAAATCAGCAAAGGACCTGAATAGACACTTCTCCAAAGAGGACACACAGATGGCAAATAGACACCTGAAAAAAGTGCTCAGCCTCACTAATCATCAGAGAAATGCAAATTAAAACTGCAATGAAATATCATCTGATACCTGCGTGTGTGTATTGTGCAGCTTTGTGACGAAATGTTCTGTAAATATCAATTAAATCCATCTGATCGAGTGTGTCATTTAAAGTTGCTGTATTCCTTCTTTTTTCTCTGGACTGTCTCTCCAGTGATGTCAGTGTGGTGTTGAAGTCCCCTACTATGACTATATTGTTGTTTCACTCTCCCTTAAAGTCCTCTGTGAGTTTTTGTTATATATTTAGGTGCTCCTGTATGGGTGCATATATGTTTACCAGGGTTATATCATCATTTTGGATCGTTCCCTTTAGTATTATGTAGTGACCTTTTTTTGTCTCTCTTATGGCCTTTGTTTTGAAGTCTATTTTGTCAGATATAAGTATTGCTACTCCAGCTTTGTTTTTTTGTTTCCGTGTGCATGGAAACAATTTTCCATCCCTTTATTTCCATCCTGGGTGAGTCCTCTGTTCTGAGGTGGGTCTGTGGTAGACAGCATATATATGGGTCATGTTTTCTTATTCATCCAGGCACTCTTTGTCTTTTGATTGGAGCATTTAATCCATTTACATTTAAGGTTATTATTGATAGGTGCTTATTTTTTATTATTTTAATTCTTTATGCCTATGTTCCTTTCTCTCTGTATTTCTTCTTTTTATAGCAATCCCTTTAACATTTCTTGCAATGCTGGTTTTGTGGTAGTAAGCTCCATTAGCCTTTTTTTTATTTTGGTCTGGGAAGCTTTTTATTTCACCTTCAATTTTGAATGATAGCCTTGCTGGATAGAGTAGTCTTGGTTTCAGATACTTGCTTTTCATTACTTGGAATAGTTCATGCCATTCCCTTGTGGCCTATAGTGTTTCTGTTGAGAAATCAGCTGACAGCTTTATGAGAGCTCCCTTGTGGGTAACTGACTGTCTCTCTTTCGCTGCCTTTAAGACTTTGTCTTTGTCTTTAGTCTTTCCCATTTTAATTATGTGTTGTTTTGGTGTGGGTCTCTTTCGGTTCAACTTAATTGGAACTCTATGCTTCCTGAGCTTGTGTGACTTTTTCCTTTACCAGGTTAGGGAAGTTTTCTGTCATTATTTCTTCAAACTTGGTCTGTATCCCTTGCTCACTGTCTTCTCCCTCTGGAATCCCTGTGATGTGGATTTTGTTATGCTTCATGTTGTCCCAAAGTTCCCTTAAACTGTCCTTGTGCTTTTTAATTACTTTTTTTTGTTGCTCTAATTGAGTAATATTTTTCTACCATGTTTTCATATTTTCTGACTCAATCTTCTCTTTGCTCTAACCAACTGTTTATTCCTTCCAGTGTATTTATTTCAGATATGTCATTCATTTTTCGACTGACTGTTTTAGTGGTTTCTGTGCCTTTTTTTGGTTTTTGAAATTAAATCATTATTGCTAAGTTAGTTGACAAGTATTAGAAAAATTCACTATTACTATTAAAAGACAGAAAGCTTGGTACATACAATTTAGGAATTGCTGCTACTCACATAACTGTTTAAATTTTATTTGGAGGTTAAGAAGAAGAGGAGACTTGGACTTAAGATAATAATTAACACAATGTAATATTTTAAACTAGAATTTTTAAGCCACTCTAATTACTTACATGCCTCTTAGCTAATGTTATAATTGTATCATATTACTTAGGTTCAAGTTCTTCCTTCAAAGAGTCATCAGAATAACATGGATTGAAGAGACTTTTGAACATTTGCCATCTCCTGCTGCTGTTTTTTAGTTTTAGTATCATTACTTATAGTATCTATCATAATTTGTTTTTGCAACATAGCCATTTCTTTTTTAAGTTCATTTTGTGCACCAGTAAGTAGAGTATCATGATTCTTCTGCAAGTCCTCCACACTCTTTATGAACTGCTCATATAACTGTTTAATGGTTTTCAGTCTCTGGCTCTGAACAGCTCTAGATTGTTGAAAAATCTTTTGTTGCTGTCAAAACAAATTAGCTAGTTTTTCTTCTTGCTCCTCAGCTTTCTACACAGCTTTCTCCCACTGCTGAGACAAAGTCAGAAACTGCTGAGAATATTCCTGATTAAGCTTCTGCCTTTGATCTTGTTGGGTTTTCCAAATATGATCAATTTTTTGGTTACTAGATTTGAAAGAAGGCTTGATATACATTGCTAGTCTTTTTTTCTTTGCAAGAAGAAAGTTGTCTATGTTAGCTCCAAATTTTTCTAGCATGTTTTGTATTTCACCCCCCATATCTTCAGTGACTGCTGCAGAAATCCTCTTCTCCCCAAGCTTATCAATTGGTGGAATCTTTGTGTTAGTAGCATCCTCCTCTGAACCACTCAGATCTTTTTTATCTTCTTTCTCAAAGTTATAGGCTCTTACAGCCTGATCTTCCATTGATATCTTCCCAGATTCCACCATATGTTTTCTTCCAGAAGGCACCATATTTAGATGTTTTCTGACTGAGGCACACACTTTGCTGCAATGACGCTCCTCTCTCTATGTCCTTTTTTATGCTGTTAAGCATTCTTAAAACCATTACTTTATACTTTGTTTCTGATGAATTGCTGCCTCCATTTCATTTAGTTCTTTTTCTGGAGATTCCCCCACGCAGATTTTAATGCCTACTACGTTTGCCCTTTGGATCTGCTGTTGGAAGTTGCTGGGTTTTGCTTCTGTGTTTCCTGAAGCTGGCACTTGGGCCCGTCCTAGGCCTCCAGGGAGGTTCTCTGGTACAAGCCATTGTCAGTTGCTGTGCCTGCCTGGCCTTTGGCATCCTGTTTGAAGCTTGGCAAGCGAAGTCCCAAGCAGTCTGGCAGGCAGGCCCTCCAGAGCCCAGGGGCTGGGTCTGCCTCCGGTCATAGCCCTTGAATGTCCCAGCTCTGATCTGCTCATTTTCCCCANTGGATGACTAAATTAATTTTTTTTGCATGCAGAATTAGAAAAGTGAAACTGAATGAATTGGAAGCATATCTTGATTGGAAATTAGAAGAATTTAGGAGGAGCAAAGATAAAATCTCTTCTTCACAAGAAGTTAATAAGAAATTTTAGAGACTGTGTCTGAACTTAGGAAGGCTTCTGAAGCTAATAAGTGCCAACAACCCATTCTTCCCCTTTCTGCAGCTCCTGCCCTATATCCTTTGCTTTCTGAGCTTTCTTGTTTGGACTTGCCCTCCCCTCCCTTCTTTCTTGCCTTCTAACTTCTCTACTGCCACTGCCTACTGGCCTAAGGAAAAATGAGAATAGAAATTCAGACAAGGATAATCCAGGAATTCTATGAGCTCCTTTCATGCAAAAGTCAACCTCAAGCAGAAACTGAAATTACCCCAAAGGGGCATTACTAAGGCCATTGTAGCTGCTGGGGCTACTTTCTCTCTTCTTCACCATCCCCAACTCCCTGCCTCCTCCCTCAGCATTAAGCTTCTGTGAAAATGGGGGGGAGAGCTACTCAACCACTGAGTGTTTTTAAATGAGAAGCTGTGTCCTTCCGCCTAGGGAAGGTTATAGGGCAACCTGTGTTTTTACTGGTCAAAGTGGCCCCAGTTCCTCTGATATGGAGACTTACTTGAAACCCATGACACACATGCTTTTCCAAGATGGGTGGAAAGTACTTAAAATGAAGGAAATGAGACACTGACCCAATTGGGAAAATAATGATTTTAAAAGCGCCTCCATCGTCAGTCCCAGGCACCTCCCTGGCCTTTGGCAACCTGTCTGAAGCTTCCCAGGGGGAACCCCACGCATTCTGGTGGGCAGGGCCTCTGGAGCCCCAGGGCTGAGTCTGCCTTGGGTCTTGCCTTTGAGTGTCTCTGCTCTGAGCTGCTCTCCCTTCCCCCTGGAGCTGCACTCTGCAGAGGTGGTTTACTCAGCCCCAAGTTGGGCATAGTGCCCTTACCCTGTAGAAGGGGTGGCGGGTGCTTCCTCTCCTTCCCAGGGCTGAGCTGACTCAACTCACTGGGGAGTTCACATGGACCTGCTTCCCCACAATGCAGCTGTAGCGCCCACACATGCCTGCCTGTCTCCCGGATAGATGCTCACCCAAAGACACAATCCTAATGCCTCAGCTCTGTCTGGCTCCCTGTCACCCTCTTGCTGCCACACCAAGTAGTAGGGGATCAAAAAAAAAAAAAAGAGACTGGCAGTCCAGTCTCTTCACACAGCTGGCCAGGGGCTGTGCGGGGTCTTGGCCCAGGCTCCAACAGGGCCAAACATCCAAGACCTCTGCACTGTCATACTGAGTAGTCCTGCTCAGATTTCTAGCCCAGCACTGCTCCCCTTTGCCTTGGATCACAGGAGGGTGCAGACCTAGGAGCTCTGCATGTGGTGGGAGGAGTGTTGCCTGTGCATTTGAGGTGGGCAAGACCAATCCTCTTTCCTAAGGCACATAGACCAGCCCCGTCCAACTCTGCCCAAAGTTCTTCCAGAGAATAGAGAGCCTGTCTGAGTGACTGTTGGGTGTGCCAAGCAGACCCCTCTGCCGTCCCTGAGCTCTGTTGCTTGGCCGCTCCAGTAGTCCTCGATTGAGCAAACTTCCCAGGCTGGTGTAACAAAGAAATCACTCCTTGTCTGGGATGGCGCAGTGTGTGTTTCCCAGTTGGGCCTACTTCCCACTGATTCCCACTGCCTGATGCTACACAGGGCTCCCCCTCCCTTCTCTGTTGCTCTGGATTGGGGATTCATGTGTGGGGCTGAGACTCCACATTCCCAGGGGACCCGGGCTGTGCTGCTACAGTATCCTTTTTGCTTCCCAGCCATGTACCTGCATGAGTTGGCTCACCTTCTCCATATCTCCTTCTATCTTTTCTCCGAGTTCCCAACTCTCAGTATTTTAGATCAGCTACACTTCATCTGTTTTTTTCAAGATGAGTGCTGTGCAGTTTAGTCACAAGTTTGGTCTGGTGTTGGCAGGAGGTGGACTGGGAGCAAATGGATGGAGCTTCCAGCTACTCTGCAGCCATCTTCCAGAACTTTTCAATGGAGGGTAGCTAATGATCAGCTGGTGGGGTATTGATAGACTTCTTTCACTGGGGAGGGAGTTAGTTAAGGTTGGTGGTACCCAGGAATAACTGGGAAGAATAAAAATTAAAAAAAAGATTTCCCAGGCCCATGCTGGACCTGCGCAGTCAGAATCTTTCCCTTGTTTCAAGTTGCCCCAGTCATCTGGTATAGGTGATCCAGGGGCCAGCCAGTCTTGGGAGCACTGGAGTGGGTGGCCTCTAAATTCTTCAGCTTTTTATAATCTGATTGTAAGAGGGCATTAGCTAGATCTCCTGCAAGGGTGGGCTATGTGGTACACAGGTCATCATCCCCTACCTCTGGTTGCCTCTCTGGTTGTAAGCACTGTTGCTTTTAGTCCTAGCTTGACTTTTATTTTTATTTTTTTTGAGACAAGTGAGCCTTTTATCATTATGTGAAGGGGCAAACCAAATAGCTAAGTAGGGTGTCACAAGCTCTAAATCAGATTACTACAAAATTTAGATTAAAAAGATGTAAGCAACAGTATGGTAAAAGAGAGTTAACTATAGAAGTCTAAGACAAATAAGAGGGTTCTGTTTTATGTAGAATCATGTTAGGGAAGGAAAAGGTAAAGTAGTCAGTGTCACCAGTTTGTTAATGACAGCCCTGTGGTGACAGATTGCACAGTGCAGCTTCCCCGAAGGGACTGTTCCTCTGCCAGGGTGGGGAGGGTGATTACATCAGCCTCCTTTAAGGACAGTGACCCTACTAGGATGCCCATGCGGTCAGTCCTCACCACCGACAGCTGTATATTTTCACCATTTGTCTCTCTTTGGGGTTCTACTTTTAAAAGAACCACACAAAGTCTTTGCTGTCATTTTTACTTATAAATAGTTATTTCCATTGTGTTGAAAGACTTCAGGCTCAGTCGTGCTTTTTGCAGTGATCTGTGGGAAAGCTACTCATGCTTTCTCTGTCCACTTCTGTTTGGAAAGCGTAGAGATACACAGTTCCACCCAGTTACCCATGTAAAGCACATTGCATGGCATGTTCTTATTGTCACTGTTTTTATCACTGTTTTTGTCATGGTCCTTACTCCTTTCCTCCTGAGGACCTCTCAGGTTGCATTAGCCTGCTGTTGTGTGGGTTCATAGCTGATCTGTGCCAGGTATGCATTTTCACAAACTGTAATCTTGATAGGCATCAGTCAGTCGCCTTTAGACGAAGTTTGTGTGGCCCTGGGGTTTGGACACAGGGCTGGGAGGGAGGGGTTATCCTATTGTTTTTTTTCCCTTCCTGCCCGCCTGTCCTCTTCCAGGAGCCTGGGCTCTTTTGGCCTTTCCCTACTGGGTCTGTAGGACTGGACCACCTCCTTTCCCAGCTAGCAAGAGGGTAAAGACTGACAACTTGGCATTTTACCTGGCCAGGGGTGAATTCTGAACCCACAATATGAAGAGAAGGAAGTTTGGAACAGCATTTGTTTTTCCTTTTATTAGAAGGAAAAGAGACACATTAGGATTCTCATTTTCAAAGGGGAAATGTCAAAGGATAAGAAGAGCTAGTTAGCATTGTCCCCTATGCTGTCCTGCTCTGGAGGAGAAAGTAACAAGAAGAAACCAGGCTGCACCTTCAACTCTGCTTGGAAACACTCTCAGCTTAACTGTCCTGGTTTATCATTTACAAGTTTTGCTTTTCATATCACTGCAGGAAACAATGCAACCAAGCTTTCTACCGCCGTGTAACAAGGATCTGCTTCCCTCTAGTTTCCAATAACTTATTCCTGACATCTCTTGGAGCCATCACCAGCAACACCTCCAATGTCCACCTTTCTGCTAACAGTCTGTTACGGACTATTTAGATATTCTCTAAGACAATGTATGTTTCTCTACCATGCTCATTGCTCCCTTCCTTCTGAGCACTTGCTAGCTGAGTCTTTAAAGTTTTTTGTTTTTTTTTAAATATATCTTTATTGATTTCAGAGAGAGGAAAGGAGAGGGAGAGAGAGAGACAGAAACATCAATGATGAGAGAGTCATTGATCGAGCCCACAACCTGGGCATGTGCCCTGACCAGGAATCGAACCCTGCTCGCCTGGATCCCAGGTCGACGCTTAACCGCTGAGCCACGCCCGGCTGGGCTAGCTGAGTCTTTAACATCCATGTTTCTACTAACAGTCTGTTCGAGAAAATCTAGACTGTTTTCTGTCCTGCTCCTCAGAATTCTATCCTCTACCCACAGCCCGATTCCAAGCTACTTGCACATTTTAGGTATTTGTTACAGCAGCATCTCACTTCCAGGCAATAAAATTAGTTTAATGAGAAAAATGTATTAGTTTTGTATGGCTCTGGTGACCAATGATCACATACTTAGTGACTTGTATGATTATCTTATAGTCCTGGAGGTCACAAGTCCCAGTCAGGTCGCCTTGCTGAAATCACGGTGTTGCAGGGCTGTGTTCCTTCACTGAGGCCCTAGGGGAGAACCTGTTTTCTGCCTGCTCAGATTGTTGGCAGAATTCACACACTTTTCAGTTGTGCTGTCCCAGATGTCTGCAGGGAGACGTGCTGTGAAAGCCTCTCCCTCACTCCTTTCTTTTATTACCTTTGCCTTTTATTTCCACCTACCCCTATAGAAACAGAATGGTTTATTTTATTTTCTGCTTTGTCATTTAATAAAGCCATGCCTGTTCAGAACTGGACAAGATGTTAGGTTCCCCACCCCACACCCTGTTACACAGCGGGGAGCCTGTGGCTCTGGGTGAAGAGGCTCAGTGTACAGTGGCAGCTAGGCTGGTTATTGGGAACTTAGGACTGGCATCCAGACCCAGGTTTCTGTGTGGAACAGGTTCATGCTGCAGAAGATTATCCTATTATCAGATTATCACAGTCAAGCAAAACACAGCCCTTAAACCATTTGTTTTGTTAGGTAAGTGTAAGTCTTGATTTTTTTTCTTTAACTCACTTTTAAAAAATATGTGTATATATTATTGTTGATTTCAGAGAGAGGAAGGGAGAGGAAGAGAGATGATGGCAGAGTCACTGACCGGCTGCCTCCTGCATGCCCCCTGCTAGGGATCAAGCCCGCAACCCGGGCATGTGCCCTGACTGGGAATCGAACCACAGTCTCCTAGATCATAGGTTAACGCTCAGCTGCTGAGCCACACCAATCGGGCTCACTTTTTTTTTTTTAAATAGAAAAAGATTCTCCATCTTAGGAGCTCATGATTTCATTCACTTTAAGTTAATCTTGATATCAAGTGCTTAGTAAATTTGAGTGCACTTAATGTAAGCAAATAATGACCTTGTAGAGTTTATTTAGTAGCAAGAGGCTAAATGTGTTCACTTTTTTACCAGATGGGTAATGATGGTTGTGAGGATCGTTTGAGGGGAATTTTATGCACTGTTGGTCATTTGTTCAAAAACTTAACGCAAGATTCCCAAGCCAGCTTTCATGTCTTCCCAGGGCTTTAGTGAGGACCTGGAATTGTAATTTTATAGATTCTTTGTAAAAAACTATCAGTGTCTGTCAGTCTCTTTGAGGTGGAAGAGCTGGGGTTTCCTTTTCAGTTCTTAAAAATGTGATCAGCAAAGGGCTGGAGAATCGGACTCTCAGGAAGCTGTTTTTCTTCCTCTGCTTCATAAATTTGTTTCTGCCTCTTTTGTTCATGGAACATGTGACTCTTCGGGACACAGCATACTGAATGCTGCTGCTTTGAATCCATGTACCAGGAAATAGTGGCTTTTGGGGAACAACTGCCTTCTCTGTCGGTCAGCCTGTCTCTCTTCCCTTACTGCAACTTGGTATTCCCATTACTTTTTGTGCTTATCAGTGTTTTGAGTTTTCCCTCTTTTAAAACTGCTAGAGAATTCAAGATATAGCCTATCATACTATCTGGAAAATAGCTGATAAGAGTGCCCCTCACAGTGGAAGATTAAAGAAAAAAGAACAAAAGCATGTTTGCCAATCCTAGCAAACAGTGCTAAAGTTTAATCGCGAGCCACAGAAGTCGATGTCCTCATGGTGGGGACTCTGGGTGAGAGGGCTGCTTCTGCCTCAAGGGCTTTAAAACCAGCTGAGCTTGTCCCTGTCTGAACCTCTGCTGATTGCCTTTGTATGTGTTTCATTTCGGCAGCTCCTTTAGTGGCAGAGTTTTCCGAGTGACCTTTTTGATGCTGGCTGTTTCCTTCACCGTTCCCCTGCTTGGAGCCATGCTGCTGCTGGATTCTCCCATCGATCCTCAACCTCTCAGGTGAGCTGCCCCAGCAATTTTTGGGAGGGGTGGCTCAGCAAAATATAATAGGCTGGGATGGTTTCTAGAGTAATTAAACCAATCTGATCTAAAAGGTAAGTTATGAGAAAGAGAAATTTGTGATTTTTTGGGCCCGTGTTTTGTTGAATTAGATGTTCCACAGAATATATGCATGGTATTGCCCATGTTATTGTTTCAAAAATAAAACTGTGCAAACCAAAAACAAAAATCAGAACAATCCCAAATGAGAGAAGCTTAAGTATTAGACATAGTTAACCTGAATTCATATGCAGGGGCAAAAGCACACACAAACAAAGGTTAAATTTAAGTTACCTTGTTTAAATTTTATAAATAACTGATTTTTAAAAACCCTTTTACTTAGTCACCTCTTTTTCCTAAGTTACTTTTCATCTTTGGGGATCTGTGAGTAACACAGTCCATTATAACTTGAAAAAATAGTATACATCTAGGGAGTCCCATAAAGTGTATTCACATTTTTAATTTTAGTAATACTGAGCCAGGCACTTATTGATGTGATTTATGACACTGATATCAAGGTGGTGTAAAGAGGGTTGTGTGGTCTGGTTTAACAGGTATCTGTTTTCCCTTGCAACTGCTCAGAGGGTTGAGCTGTGTGAAGTTTATTTTAATTGAGAAAGGTCCATGTCTTATTATAGAGTAAATATAATATATATAACTGTATAATGTGTTGGTGTTTTGTAAATAAAACTTAAAGTTTTATATTTGATTTAGTTCACTAAAAATGTATTCAGCACTAGTATGTTCAAGGCAGGTATCAGTTAGATACAAGAGGACACAGTTCTGACGTTAGATTGACATACATATAGAAGAGTCAACTTTTTGTTGTTGGATTTAGAATTAGTAAAGCTATACGGTGTTAAAACACAGTTAGTTTGCATAAGATTGAGAATGGGTGGAGGCCTGGGCACCGTAGACTCATAAGCATGCTTGCTCTGTAATTCCTGGTATACCACTAGTTCCTTGCTCATGTCTTTACTCCCAGGGACATCTATGTTCTCTCTGAGGTGCTTCTAGGACACTCTAGGGGGGGGCTCTTTCTTGCTATCCCCTCTCAACATGTGGAAGGATTTCGCTCAGCTCACCCCAAATAGAAACTGACCTGGACTTTATTCAGTTGGCAAGGTGATAAAATGTACTGTGTCCACAGCTAGGGATCAAACTCTAGGCTGCGGAGCTAGCCTTGGGAAAGGGGGAAAGCAGAGAGAGCAGGTAAAGATGGTGTTTCTGATGGAGTGGGAGGGATGGAGCTTAAGTGACTGAAATCCTTTGAGCTCAATAAAGAGGAATTTATGTGTGGAAAGGGTGGTGGGTAAATTCAGAGGAGAGGTGGGTATGTGTTCATGACCAGAAACTGAAAGGAAACATGGCCCAATAAGGATTTGAAGTTGTGCAAGTGAGTTCTGCCTGGGGAGTAGATGAGCCTGGTGGGCAAGGGAGGAGAAACCTAGTGAGATCAGCGTGGCTGACAGGATCTCTCCCACAGGCTCAGATTTAGGGAATGACTTGCTCAAAAATTGGAAGCATGGGCCCCAAAATGCAGAACAAAAGAAGGAGAGTGGCAGAGAGTGTAAGAACAGAAATAAACAGGTTGGGGGAAAATGCTAATGACAGCAGCAAAAAAACCTTCTTTAAAGCTCTCTTCAGAACTAAAAGAGCAAAGAAGGGGGAGACCTACTGTCTGCAACAGGTGACAGAAGAGCAGAGCTACTGGCTTATGCTCTGCCTCAGTCATCTCCCAGACAAGGGGGACGCCATAGTCATTGGGATCAGGCCAACTGGTAGGGTGGGAGGTCAGCAATGGCAGTGCCTTTGGGAATCTACTTTTATTATGGGACAAAGTGTGTGTGTGGGGGGGGTCCTCTTCCCCACTGGGTTCTACTGGGGGTGGAGTCCTTATGATATCTCAAGAAAAAGAAAAGAATGTTCTGAGACTCGCACGGGAAAACAAGTGATTTTTATTTGCATAGAGTTAAATTCCTGGGTTTCTAAAGTCCCATTTCCCTTCGTCCAGTCATAGAAGAAGGGTAGCTGGGGTTTCAGTAAAGTGAGAAGCAAAGCCAGTGTCCAGAGTATCCTTTTCATGTTGGAGCTGGGTCCAGTACAGCATCAAGCTAGTCTCAGTCCATCATCCATTGTGTGTGGGGGTCTGCATGGCCATGGGCCACACAGGAGAATGCAGGAGAGTGCCCATGCAGTGAGAGTCCCAAGCGTCCTGAAAGCACAAGAGAGTGAATTCCTTTGTTCAGGGGATTAAATATCCCAAATCTTCGAGCCCTTGCAGTGGCAATGCCCATTCTGGCCAACTGTCTCTGTCCCCAGGTGTAACTGACAGCAAGCACCTTCCATATGTCACCCAACTGTACTGGGCATACGTCTCTCTTCCCTTTGTCCAGTCCCCTGGGGAGTGTAAAGCTGCAGCTTCCTGGTGAAGCTGTCCAAATGTTATGCCTGTAGTGGCTGGCCTCCCCCTTCCTCCTTTCCTGTTATTAATAACTAGGCTAATTATAATGGTAGACTTTCAGGGTCTAAATAGCCTCTGTGTGAGCTTAGACCATACTTAGAAATCTCTGGGAAATCAGAGAACAGACAGACCAGTGACAAGGAATGGCAGGTGATTATGCAGCTGGTTTTGGTTCTAGGGAGTCGCCACCTGGAAGGCCGCAGAGCTTTGACAAACACCTGCCTTGTAAAGCTACTTTCTTTTCCTTCTTGGAAGATTGGAGGACTATGGTCAACAACACATGTGATATCCTGATTTCTGGAAAATGTTGACCAGTGTCTTTCAGCATACATTTGACACATGGAGTTAGCAGGAATCAGCGGGAATTAATATGAGGTAACAGGAGTTAATGAATTAACAGGAGGTCAGTGGCCTTAACCAGAGCCCATGTGCCTAGCTGGCTGTGAGGGCTGATTTGGGCTCCCTGGAGCCACCCTTCCTTGGTGCTTTGAGTGGGGTCCCTTTCTTGCCTGTCCTTTGCATTTTCTCAGATAAGTTTTCTTCTTGTCTCCTTATTGAGATAATACTCAGGCCCATTGTGGGCAGGGACAGTGTGCAATATACTGATTAGTTTGATCTGCAAATATTTCCTGAGGACTTCCTGTGTGTAGGGAATTAGGCAAAGTCCAAGCACTGGGTGAGAGGGGCTGATGTCAGGTGTACCCTCTTCTATTCTTGGGCTTTATGTGTTTATCTATGTTGTTCAATCTTCACATATACCTTTGGGAAATAGGACCTTTCTAAGGTCAGAACTTGAAAGCAGATGTGTCCGATTCCATAGCCCAGGGTTTTTTCACCAAACAATCTTGCTCTTTCAAAGGAAGAGCAGGTTGCAATCCTGCTCTTCCTTTGGAAATGAAACTCCTAGTTGAATAAGAATGTTTTTTAAGCAGGTTGAAAGTCATATTGGGGAGCGGGTGGGCCATTTTAATTTGGGGGAAGTTGTGTTGTGTCTTGCATAGGTGCCCACTCAGAGGGGGTGGCAGAGGTGAAGTGCTTTGCCAGCAAGGTAGAGCGCTTTTCCATCATTCCACATCCTCAACTACCACCTCCCCCTTGGTTCTCCCACACTGCTTGGCTGGCTAGGAAGCTGCCTTGTTGGAGGGCAGGGTGGGGAGGGAATTGGGAGATAACCGCCCCCTTCCCGCTCTTCCACCCTCTCACTCCTACAGTGTTCATTGGAAGCGTCCTGTATGCTGGGTGCTTGGGATACAGCAGTGAAAAACACAGAACAAATCTCTGGTCTCATGTATTCTAGTGGGGACAGGCAGACAATAAACAGAAGTGAGAAGCCAAAAAAGGCTTGAACCAAATAGAGTGCGGGGGGACTGTACTTTTGGAGAGGTGTTGAATATTAAATCGGGTGGTCAGAGCAGGCCTCACTGAGAAGGTGGGGGGTGGAAGGAACAGCTAGTGCGAAGGACTTAAGATGGAAGATGCCTGGTGCAGTCAAGAACCAGCAGGGAGTGGCTGGTGTGGAAGGTCAGAGTGGACTACTGGGAGAGGAGGAGAGAGAGCTCACAGACCAGATGGTGCAGAGCTAAGAGCCACAGCTATGACTTAGGCTCTGGGTGAGAAGGGGCCATTACAGGGTTTTGAGCAGATAACTGCTGTTTTCGGATTATTGTGCTCACATGGGCTGCTAGGTTGAGAATAGACTTTAGGGGGCAGGGAGGAAGCAGGGGACAGAAGATGGTGGCCTGGACCAGGGTGGTAGTGGACATGGGGTGAAGGTGTTCAACAATGTCAGTCTTTTGGAGGTGGCATCAGCACGATTTGCTGGTGGATTGGGAGAAAGAGCATATTTGCATGCAGATGGGAAGGACCCAAGAAGAGGGCAGCCCAGTTGGAGTGAAGGGGGGAGGGAGGTGGGGCCCGGTGGAGGCTGTTGTCCGAGAGAAGTCAGGTGGGTCCAGAGGGGGTGCTTATGTTGAACGACGGGGTTGCAGTGCCAGTTCCCAGACTGCTTCCTCTCACTTCTGCCTTCTCCATGAAGCAAGGCCATAAGCTGTGAAATGTGACATGGCTGCCCTCCATCTCCATTGGACTTTAATGGGAGCACAATCACTGGGAGTATAAATGCCAGGGTGTGTGAATCAGAGGGTGTGAGAAGGTCTAAACCTGCTGTGAGGCATTGGATCAGTGATGAGAAGTTCAGGTGAGTAGAGGCCCTGGGGTGCTCTTAGATGGCAGGTGATTGCAAAAGTTCTTACGTTAGCTGTATTTATATTTTCATTTTGATTTAATACTATGACCTTTTCTAATACCCTAGGACAGTTTTTTTCCTAACCTTTGTATTTCTGGCAAATAAGGATATTTTATTATTGGAATGAACCGTCTTTATCAAATGGAATTATGCATGTCGTAGGGCCTCAGTAAGCACTTTCTTCATGTATTTTCTATAGACAAATCCCTATAATTGTATTATATTACAGCTTCAAAGAACCCCCTCTCTTGCTTGGTGTTCTGCAACCAAATACGAAGTTACAACAGGCGGAAAGGCTATTTGAAAATCAACTTATTGGGCCAGAGTCCATAGCAAATATTGGGGGTAAGTAAACCCCTGGAACTGCAGAGTCTGACTGGGATGCCTTCGAGGCTGTCTGTTACTTGAAGGGGGGATTCTGTAGGAGCAGCCCCCATGGCACCCTGCCCCTGGTTGGGGGAGCTTTCGACATCTGTAGCTGTGGATGTGGGATGTGCATGTGCTTGTTGAGCAGACACTCTGTGGGAGCATTTCGGTTCCGAGCTGTGGGCCATTTTAGTACTGGGTGATTTTGAGTTCATGTCTATGGAGTACTTTATTCTGCTCAAAGTATTGGGCCCATTAAAATGGAAGGAAAATGAAAAATGCAGACATTGATATTTAGTTCATTTGTCAAAGGTAGGTATTTCTTAACAGGACATTGTTTCTTAGCTCAATTTGTCTTTGTATAGATTTCATTTTTGGAAAGAATATGAATGATTCTCAATATTCCCACTTTTTTTTCTTTAAACTTGCCCAAACATAAGAACTAAACTTGGGTCTAGTTCTAATACTTGAGTCTCTAGCAACCTGAAACAAGGCATTTTCTATTAGCTTTGGAATCAAAAGATAAAGTTGCTGTATTTAAAATAGTGTGAGGATTTCAGAGCAGCTTAAATAAGCACCCTGCTCCCCATTCCAAAGTACAATATGTTTTCTGTGTAGTTGTGGACATTGTGTTGGGGTTGCTCCTCTGTTTTGTTTTGAAGGCAGGTCAGAGCTGCTCCTCCCATGATATTGACGCTTGTTTTTCCCAGCCTTGCTGTTTGCTGTTGGAGCCAGACTGGTGCATTTCTGCTCTTGTTTGTTTGGTAAAGTCAAAATTGTTTCAAGAGGGATAGGCACTTCATGCTGGAACTTCATATTTCCTTTAAAAAGACATTGGCATTTATTATTAATACATTTTAAGAGTTTTGTGGGATCTTTTAGTGAAAAATCAAATATTGGAAATCAAAACTGGAACTTGGAGGAGTTAAAATGATTTTTTTTAAAACTTTCTAAGAGAATGCTTTTCTTGTTCTTTCCTTTTCCACTTGGGCTAACATCTCATTGTACTCTCACTAGATAAAGGAGCTGGCTATCTTGTTGGTGACATTTCTGGTTAGGTACAGAGGGGACCTATCTAGTTAGTTTCCTGCAGGCGTGAACCCCAGGGAGGCCCCCAGGGACCCGTTGCTGCTGCCTCATTTGGAAGTTGTCCTGAGAGATGGCTGGCATGTTGCTGACATTGGAAGGAGGCACCAGCCCCAGGAGGTACTCAAGTAATCAATCACCAATTAATGTGTTTTAATTTTTTAAAAAATAGACTTTATTTTTTAGAGCAATTTTAGGTTCACAGCAAAACTGAGGGGGAAGTACAGAAATTTCCCATGTACCCCCTCTCCCCACAAATGCGCAGTTTCCCCCATAATCAACATTTCATACCAGAGGGCATATTTGTTACAGTTGACACATTATCATCACTCAGAGTCCACGGTTTACATTGGAGTTCACTCTTGGTGTTGTATATTCTGTGGGTTTGGACAAATGTATATGACATGTATCCATTATTTTAGTATCATACAGAGTAGTTTCACTGTCTGAAAAATCCTCTGTGCTCTGCCTATGTATCCCTCCCTCCCCTCAAATTGCCCTAGCAACCATGCATCTTTTTACTGCTTCCATAGTTTTTGTTTCCCGGAATTTTATATAGTTGGAACCATATAGTATGCAGCTTTTTCAGATTGGCTTCTTTCACTTAGACATATGCATTTAAGGTTCCTCTCTGTCTTCTCATGCCTTCATAGCTCTTTCCTTTTTATTTCTGAATAAAATTCCATTTTCTTGACATACAGTCAAACCTCAGTTCTCGAATGTCTCTCATATCAAACAGTTTGCTTCTCAGCCTGACAACCCTTTCATGCTGATACCTGTATGATGTCTCTCAGGCGACAAAGGAGAGAATGTGAGAGTATTAGTTTACTGATGTTAACATCTCAGAATATCGTGCTGTGAATATTTTCGTGTTTTTTTGCTTCTGTTGCTACTTATTATTATTATTAAATTTTCATTTTTACTGTACATTTCATTTCCTTTTTTTAATATTTTCATTTATATTTCATATGCTTTTTGTTTTTAAAGTATTTATTTATAGATTAAATAGTACATTAGATATGTATGTATATAAGAAAGCTTAAAGCAGGAAATCATGCCCTGGCCAGTTTTGCTCAGTGGTTAAAGCATTAGCCGGTGGACTGGAGGGTCCCATGTTTGATTCCAGCCAAGGGCACATACCTTGGTTGCAGATTTGATCCCCTGCCCAGTCGGCGTGTGCGGGAGGCAACCAACCAATCAATGTCTCTCTCTCACATCAGTGTTTCTCTCTCTCTTCCACTCTCTCTGAAAAGCAATGGAAAAAATACCCTTGAGTGAGGATTAAAAAAAATAATAATAATAAAAAACGGAATCCTTTGGGATGGATTAATTTAATTTACATTATTTCTAATGGGGAAAAAATGCTTTGGTTTTTGAACAGCCTCTCGGAATGAATTAAGTTCAAGAACTGAGGTTCCACTGATTACAGTTTATTAGTTCTCTGATTGAAGGACATCTTGGTTGCTTCCAAGTTTTGGCAATTATTAATAAAGCTGTTATAAATATCTGCATGTAGATGTTGTGTGGACATTTTTTCAAGTCATTTGGGTAAATACCAAGGAGCACAATTGCTGGATCTTATGGTAGGAGTATATTTTGTTTTGTAAGAAACCACCAAACTGTCTTCCAAAGTGGCTGTACCATTTTGTATACCCACCAGAAATAAATGAGAGTTTCTCTTGCTTTATATCCTGACAAGCATTTGATGTTGCCAGTGCTGTGGATTTTGGCCATTCTAATAGGTGTGTTGTGGCATCTCATGATTTTAATTTGTAGTTCCCTAACGACATATGATGTTGAGTATCTTTTCATGTTTATTTGCCATCTGGATTTTTTCTTTGGTGAGGTATCTGTTAAGTCTTCTCGACTTTTTAAAAATTGCATTATTTTCTTATTGTTGAGTTTTAAGAGTACTTTGCATATTATGGATAACAGTCCTTTATCAGATGTGTTTCTTCAGATATTTTCTCCCAGTCTATAGCTTCTCTTCTCATTCTCTTGACAGTTTCTTTATAGAGTGGAAACATTTAATTTTAATAAAGTCCAGCTTATCAATTCTTTCTTTCATGGATTGTGTCTTTTCAATTTTAAAACATTATCTAAAACATTATCCCCACACTCAAGGTCAACTAGTTAACTCCTATGTTATCTTCTAGGAGATACATAGTTTTACATGGTACATTTAAGTCGATTTTGAGTTAATTTTTGTGAAGCGTTGTTAGGTCTATAGGTCTATGTCTAGAGTTTTTTTGTGTGTTTTTTTTTTTGCTTATGGATATCATTTTTTTAGCACCATTTGTAGAAAAGACTGTCTTTGCTCCACATTTATGTGGTTCTGTTTCTGTACTCTATTCTGTTCTACTGATCTATTTTTTTATTTTTCCTTTATGACACTGCCTTGATTAGAGTAGCTTTATAGTAAGTCTTGAAGTCAAGTTGTGACAGTCCTCTGATGTTCTTCATTATTGTGTTGGCTATTCTGGATCTTTTGCTTTTCCATATTTAAACTTTATAATCAGTTTGTGGATATCTATAAAATAAATTGCTGGGATTTTTATTGGAATTACTTTGAATATATAAATCAAGTTAGGAAAAACTGACATCTTGGCAAGATTGAATCTTCATATCCATAAACATGGGATATCTCCATTTATGCAGTTCTCTGATCTTTCAGTAATTTTATAGTTTTTCTCATATAGATTTTGTACATATTTTATTACATTTAGACCTCAATATTTCATTCTTTTGGGTGCCAATATGAATGGTATTCTGTTTTTAATTTCAGCTTTTACTTGTTCATTGCTGGTATATAGCAAAGTGACTGACTTGTATATTATCCTTGTATCCTGCAACCTTGCTATAATTGCTTACTAGTTCTAGGAGGTTTTGTTGTTGTTTCTTTTGGATTTTCTACATAGAGAATTATGTAATCTGTGAACAAAGACAATTTTATTTTTTCCTTCCCAATTAGTATAGATTTTCTTTTCTTGTCTTATTGCATGAGCTAAGACTTCTAGTATAGTGTTGTAAATGAATAGTGAGGGAGCGTCCTTGTTTTGCTCCTTATCTCAGTGGGAAAGCTTCTAGTTTGACACCATTAAGTATGATGTTAGCTGTAGTGTTTCATGGTTGGTTGGTTTGTTTTTTAAATAGATGTTCTTTATCAAGTTGAGGAAGTTCCCCCTCTATTTCTAATTTGCTGAAAGTTATCATGCAACTGTTGGATTTTGTCACATGCTTTTTCTGCATCTACTGATATGATCATGTGATTTTTCTTTAGCCTATTGATATTATGGATTACATAATTGAAATTTTTCAAACGCTGAACTAACCTTGCACAACCTGGATAAATTCCAGTTGCTTGGGTATATAGTTCTTTTTATACATTGTTGGATTAGATTTGCTAATATTCTGTTGAGGATTTTTGCATCTTTGTGCATGAGAGATATTGGTCCATAGTTTCCTTATAATGACTTTGGTTTGGATATTAGGGCAATGCTGGCTTCATAGAATAAACTAGGAAGTTCCCTTTGTTTCTGTCTTCTGGAAGAGATTGTAGAGAATTGATATCATTTCTTCCTTAAATGTTTGGTAGTAGTATTCACTGGTGAACCTATCTTAGCCTGATGTCTTCTGTTTTGGAAGGTTATTAATTATTGATTTGTTTCTCCAATAGATATACACTTAATAAGATTGTCAAAACTCATATAAGAAGAAATAAGACAGACTGTGTCTTTTAAGGAATTGGTTCATTTTATCTAGATGGTCAAATTTGGGGCATAGAGTTGTTCATAATATTCTTTTATTATCTTTTTAATGTCCATGGGGTCTGTAGCAACGTTCCCTCTTTCATTTCTGAGGTTGGTAATTTGCATTTGTTCTTTTTTTTTCTTAGTTTGGCTAGAAGATTATCAATATTATTGGTTTTTTCGAAGAAGTAGTTTTTAGTTTTGTTGATTTTCTCTATTGATTTCCTGTTTTCAATTTCATTAATATCTGCTCTGATTTTTATTATTTCTTCTGCTTATGTTGTATTTAACTTTCTCTTCTTTTTCTGGTTCCCTAAGATGAAGCTCAGATGGTTGATTTTAGATTTCTCTTCTAATATCTGCATTTGGTACTGAAAATTTCTTTCAAAGCACTGCATTCCACAAATTTTGATAAATTGTTTTTTATTTTATTTAGTTCAAAATTTTAAAAACTTCTCAAGATTCCTTCTTTGGCCCATGTGTTGTGTAGAAGTGTGTGTTATTTAATCTCTGAGTATTTAGGGATTTTTCCAGATTTCTTTCTGTTGTTCTGGTTTAATTCCATTGTGATCTGAGAGCAGGAATTACGTAATTTCTAGCCTTTTAAATTTGTTAAGGTGTGTTTTATTGCCCAGAATGTGTTCTAATTTGGTGAATGTTTCATGTGAACTTGAGAGGAATGCATATTCTGGTATGTTTGGATTACCTAGTTGATAGATATCAATTATATCCAGTTGATCAATGGTGCTGTTTAGTTCAACTATATCTTTACTGATTTTGTCTGCAGGACCTCTCCATTTCTGATAGAGGGATGCTGAAGCCTCCAACTCTAATAGTGGATTATCTATTTCTCCTTGCAATCCTATCAGTTTTACTTTACCTCATGTATTTTGACAATTAGGCACATACACATTAAAGGTGTCTTTGTGGAGAATTGAGCCTTTATCATTATGTAATGTCATGTGTTTTTTCCCCCTTGACAACTTTCCTTGCTCTGAAGTTGGCTGTCTGAAATTAATGTAGCGATTCTAGCTTTCTTTTGTTCAGTTTTAGCATGACATATCTTTCTCCAGGCCTCTGTTTATATGTGTCTTTATGTTTAAAGTGAGTTTCTTATGGACAACATATAGTTGGGTCTTACTGTTTATTTTATCTACTCTGACTTTTAAAAATCTCTTTTAATTGGCATATTGAGACCATTGATGTTTAGAGTAAGAATTGGTGCAGTTAGATTAGTAGCTACCTTATTTGTTACTGTTTTCTATTCATTGCCCTTGTTCTTTGTTTCTAATTTTGTCTTCTCTCTACCTTTTGTTGTTTTTATAATTCTATTTTCTGTTCTTTCTTAGCATATCAGTTACTTTTATAAAGTTGTTTTCAGTGGTTGCCCTAGAATTTATAATATATATTTAAAAAATATTTAATGTTTCATGAATTTGCATGTCATCCTTTTGTGCAGCCGTGCTAATCTTTGTATTTTTCCAATTTTAGTATATGTGTTGCTGAAATGAGCACCTAATGTGCTTTTATTTTATCCTGAGGGACTTCCTACCAGTTTTTGCCTTTTAGTTGGATACGCTCAGCCTCAACAGCAGATGCTGATGGGAGGCAGACATGAACACGTGTACCTGAGTGCCAGCCCCAGGGCCCATATGCTTCTGAGAGTAGAAAATACTCATGGTTTTATCACTGCCTGGTGTCTGCTGCACCCATGCTTCAGTGTTAGGTTCAAGCCCACAGGCAGATGCCCCAGAACTCCACAGTTTTACTGCTGCACGTTTTAAGAACTTTTTGTTCCCAGACATCGCTTCTCCTTCATCTTCAGAACTGCCATTTCTTCTCCAGAGATGAAAACACCAACCAGCCATGTATGTTGTAGAAGAAGGTAACATGATCACAATTCTCAGGCTAAGCCAGTAATACTCTTATTCTTTTATATTTTTTTTAACAGATGTGATGTTTACTGGTACAGCAGATGGCCGGATCATAAAACTTGAAAATGGAGAAGTAGAGACCATCGCCCGGTTTGGGCCGGGCCTGTGTGGTAAGTTAGTGACAGCCCTGCCCACGCATGTCTCTTCCAGTCATTCAGAAAGGTGCCAGATGCCTTGTGTAAGTCAGGTGCACCCTTGGAGAAAAAGAGCCCTGATCATCTGGCAGAGAGCCTGATTAGGGTATTATCACATGCTGTTCATTTCCCGGTGGTCCTTGGACCTCATGGTGCCTGGTTGTCACCCTTCATCGCAGTTTCCCAGCTAGGCAGTGGCCATGGCACTTGCTGGTTACTTCTTAGCCCTGCCTCTTGCCTTTCTGCAGAGGCCCATGCTCACTTTTGAGGTAACTTGAAGATTAATAGGTGTTGTCTGAGTGCTACTATGGCAAAGCAGTTGGCTTCGTCATTACTTGGTTGCTTAAATGTGATTCCTGCATTAGCTTCTTAGGAATTTCAGCAGCATCATCCAAAGTGAAAATATCCCAAAGTCACTCCAATTTTAGAAAACTAGAGTAGAAGAATCTTACTGTTTAAACACTAATAGTCCTGACTTCTTATCATTTTTTAATAGCTGAAATGTCTTTTTAAAAATGATGCATTGTCATTGTGAAATGTGAACAACACAAAGGTACAAAGAAGAAAGTAAAAATCACCCCAGAGTCTTCTCGGCTGTAACTGTTGTTAACATTTTAATGAATAACTTTTCAGATATCTTTCTGTTCATGGATACTCACAGCCAGCCATGGTTATATGGGATGGAATCATACTCTACTTTTGGTTCTTCTTGCCTTTTTCCACTCTATATTTTGGCTGTAAGTGCCCTCTAGTAAGCACCCTGCAGCAAGCACCCCTCCTGCTGTAACCAGCTCTGCAGAGAGCACTGTGCAGCAGCACCTTGTAGTAAGCATCATGTTGTAAGCACTCCTGCAGTGGACATTCTGCTGTAAGCGCTCTATAGTAAGCACCCCACAGTGGGCACCCTTCAGTAAGTACCCACAGTCAGCACCCCACAGTGGGTACCCTGGAGTAAGGATTCCTGCAATAAGCACCCTGCAGTGAACACCCTGCAGTAAATAGGCATTGCCACAGGTTTTTGTTCTTTTTTTTTTTTCTAATCCTCACCTGAGGATATGTTTTACTGATTTTAGAGAGAGGGGAAAGGAGAGAGAGAGAGAAGGAAACATCCACGTGAAAGAGAACATCGATCAGCTGCCTCCCGCATGCACCCTGACCAGGGATCGAACCTTTTGGTGCAAGGGACGACCCTCAACCAAGTGAGCCACACCAGCCAGGTCCCCACAGGTTTTTAAAGAGTGTAGGTAGTAGAGCAAGAAAATTAATCTAAGAAATAAAATAGAACTCTCCCTTTATGCCTGTAGAAAGAAAACCATCTTGCTACTAGATGGGCAAGAGTATTCAGATCAGGCTGTTGGGATTCACCTCCCAACTCCTGAGGTTCTGTGATTCTGGAATTGAGGCCTGGTCCTGATGACATCCCAGAGTTAATTGTCCAAGTCTCGGGATGCTGATGTGAACATGATTCTTGGGTACCAATTGCTGTGTATATGTCCAGATTTGGATTCTCAGGTGGTCTCTCTGGACATGCTGGCCACTTGTCCTAAATTCTAGGGGGCTGGAATCCTGGGGGGCAGTCTGTCTCCAATGTCATGGTCTTTTTTTGTTCTCGACAGCACTATGCCTGTTTAGGAAGGGATGGTTGGATGAGGTGCTTGTACACTAAAGGGGGCACAGACAGAATCTTAGACCAGCTGCCGATTCCTGTCCATTTGTTTCCCTAGAAACCCAAGCTGACGAGACTACTTGTGGGAGACCCCTGGGCATCCGGGTAGGGCCCAACGGGACCCTTTTTGTGGCTGACGCATACAAGGGACTATTTGAAGTAAATCCCTGGAAACGTATGTGACAATATCTTATTACCTTCTGTAATAATTTCAGATTCTTTAAACAATATGTGCATAAGTGGATTTAATAGAATTTGTTCAATACAGTCAACTGGAGACTATATTTCTCACTCATTCAATAGTACTGAAAGCATTGCTTTACAAATATTAGCTAGTGTAAACACCATGCAAATCCCTACTTGTGTGCATTTAGTCAGTACCCAAATTTCCTCGGGCGTTTTGGCCACGGGTCTCAAGAGGACTTTGAGGATATGAGACCTCCTCCTTCCATCTTTGTTATTGTGTCTCTCTTGACATCTTGTCTTGCTGTTTTCTGCCTCTCATTCTTCTCTTATCCTTACTCTTCATCTCTATGTCTTTTCATTTTTTTTCTCTATCTCTTCCTCCTGTTCCTTTCCCCTGACTGGTCATGATGTCACCTTGACCAGCAGTATAACATTCACTGTATGTGCCTTGGCAGGGGAGGGTGATGTTGTGGAGGAGTTTGTTATCATGGGTGGTGCGTGGGGCCCTGGGTTCAGGCACTGCAGACCGACTGCATAGGTCTGCCGTGCCAGTTCTGGCTCTGTGACTGTGCAAGTTACTTAGCCTCCCTGTGCACACGTCCGTCTTCCATGGTCGGATAATGCCTGCCTTGTGGGATTGTTGTGAGGGTTTAAATGCTATACATGGAAAGAGCTTCACCCTCAATACATGTTTGTTCTATTTAAAAAGCTTACTACTCTTATTTCTTTCTTTAACAGCAGATGAGAACAACATTCTATATTTCTCTCAAACAAACAAGTAGAAAATTGCCTTTTACCTAAGACTTTTAAGTCAGTTTGTCTCAATAAAAGTTCCTCATCCTTAGAGGAAGGGTTTTGCTAATGTAGTTAGTCTAAAAAAATTCATCAGCTAACAGGTGAAAGGAAGGAAGACACTGTATTTTACTGTAAAAAGGAATACATCTTCTAACATAGGGCATGGAGAAGTTCATTTTAGTTTTCCTTTTTAAATCAGGCTAATTAATATTTCGAAATTATTGTGATACAAGTTCTTAGAATGAAAGCAATTCTCTCTCCTTTGCTTCCTTCCTTTCTTTCTTTCCTTCCTCGCTACTGCAGGTGAAGTGAAATTGTTGCTCTCCTCCAACACACCCATTGAGGGGCGGAAAATGTCCTTTCTGAACGATCTTACAATAACTCGGGATGGGCGGAAGATTTATTTTACGGATTCCAGCAGCAAATGGCAAAGACGAGATTATCTGCTTCTGCTTATGGAGGGAACAGATGATGGGCGGTGAGTGTGTATTTCGTATCTTTCATATCTTCTCAGTGAGATCGTCAGTCAGGCAGGGTGACTTTAGCAGACTGGTTATTTTTAGGAATCTTAGGAGTGTTTCTGAGCATAATACTTCAGCATTTCAGATAGGACCTTAACGACCTCTGGAAATGGGTGAGGGATGCAACAAAACAGAGCAAGGTGATCTTACTTTCTCTTTGATGAGATGAAATAAAAAATAGACCAGTCCATGTGAGGATGTGGTCTAGGCAGTCTGGGAGAGACCTACAAGCAGGCCTGGGTTTTAGGTTGTCCCTCTGAAGGGCACTCATGTGAGGCTGGAGCCATGGTAGCCCCCCTGGTGCTGAGCCAGCTCCCAAGTCAGTGAGAGAACTGACGGGGGGGGGG